AGTTAGTATATGGAGCAGAGATTGAGTAAATGTGAGCGGATATTGTATGTCTCTTACGAATGCCTTCGTCATGGATCGATCTGTAACCCTGCAGAAGCATGTCCTTTAACTTTGTGAACTGCTTTTTCTACTTTTGAGCCAATTGGCTTGGCTCTTCTATCCATTTCTGGCCCTTCGCAATAAACAACCTCACCCTTCGAATTTTCATTCAGAATTAATTCTTTTTCCTTGAGATATAGGAAGAGTTTTCCTTTGTATCTATGAACCAAACAATGAAAATGTCATGAAAACATCTGGAGGCTTGCGAAAAGATAAATATGCAGTTTGTCTCGAAACTCCAAACCTATTCTAATTTTAAATTTTGACATTAGAGATTCCATAGGATTTGTTGAAACTATGATGGTAATCCTTTCGAGGTTGTACAATAGCAAAAGTTCATCATATGCATCTTATCAACATCATGTTCTAATCACCACTCCCTCAAATTCGAACCCACAAATTTCACCAAAAAATTCACTCAAAATCTTTCACATAACAATGATCTTGAGATTCCTTAGCTGGTGAAATTTGAAGGCTTTTTGGACTGGCATATCCCCTATGTAGGCACTTGCGAGATAGCCTCGATATCATATTTTTGATGTGTATAAATACATCTAAACTTCTCTTCAGTCGTAAATTGTTTTAATTTTGTTCATTTTGCAACAAAGGATCCGAGCAGTGTCTTGCTCGCACTGTCTTATCGAAATTTCGCAAAAAAACACTTCCGTATACTTTTCATGTAAATTGCAAATGCTCGCTTACATAGTTAGGATAGCTCTAAGTAAAACGTCTGGAGTGTCTAAATGATGCCAAAAGACCCTTCTACATAGTAGAAAGACTAGCATGTTTTTGAGAGGACGTGGATCCGAACTTCCAAGCTTTTGTGCACGTGCGGCCGCGTGCCCGAGATATGCGAACTGAAGGAAATTCAACCAAGTATTTTTTTCAACTTTTAACATTCAGTAATACTCATTCCAGCGAAACTTTTGCAAAATTTGGAAAATTAGCGCATTCAATCGTGGAGGCATCAACACAACGACGCTCATATCAAAGGGAGCCGCGGGAACTTTAGACAGGATGACGGTATAAAATTTCATTTCATTTAATTTCATTCACACGCTACAAGGAGTTCCAAATCAAAAACGCCAAAGTGTTAGTTATACAAGAAATACAACAGTAACAAATCACCCGTCATTCCAAGCCCAGTCCAGACGACTATATAAAGAAAGTAGTTCAGCAATAATGTAAAAAGCTTGCATAACATGTTTTGGGATTGCACGTAATCTTGCGCTTGCATGGACTATTTGGAATTCTACGACAGGTTGAAGACATTTTTGGACACTAAAAGCGACCTAAGCATGGGGTTAACTCAGGGCTCGGTACGAGCTGGCACCAGGGAAATTTCAAAACGAAGTCCCGTTTGATATTGAAAATTTCGTACGAAGTCCCTTTTGACCTGTTTTGAAAACCCGTCATCATTTTTATATTATGTAAAAAGTGTGGTAGTTTTCCAGCTTTTTGAGCTTTTTAAATGGTCGCACATCTTGAGAAGCAGAAAAAGCCGATTTTTCGACGGCGTAGCGGACCAAGTGGTTTTCAAATTGCTATAAAACGCTGAAAAGAGAACATTATGAAACTGTTTCTTCTCCGTATGTAATCTTTTACAGTGTAGATACATTTTATGTAAAAAAGTATGAAAACTTATGTGAGCAAAGTGTCGGTGCCAGCTCAGCTGGCACCCAGCTGGCACGGTGCCAGCTAATTCAGAAAAAAGTTGGGCACAGCTTTCATTCACATAAGTTTTTATAAATTTTTGGCCCGCAGTTCCGGTCCACCAATGCGCATGCACACACCAAATTTGGTGTCATACTATTGCGTTTTGGCTGAAAACAACGCCTTTGTTTGTTGATGGACAGCTTGCCAATGGCATGCCGGTGGCCTGCCGGCGGCATTTTTGCGGCAGTTCTCCTTCTCGGCCCCTGTAGGAACGATATCCCCTTTGCATTCCGCGTTAAAAACGATATCCAGCTTGACCCGGTGCCAGCTGTGCTGAGCCCTGGGACTATATTTAAGGTGGTCTGCGCGTTTGCTCACTCCAACATGTTCATGGTGTTAGCAT